TGTCGTGGAAACACACGCAGCATACTTTTGGGTCAGGTCAGCAGAAGCTTTTATTCAAAAGAAACTACAGCTGTAGGGGGGATTCCAAAGTGACATGGATTTTCCAAGCACTTGGAAGGGGTCCCCCCCCAAGAGCAAAATCAGGAGGCTTATATACTTTAACAGTTGCTTACAACTCATGTGATCATATAGTGAAATTAGCATGAAAAGCAGCTATAATATTACTTCATTATTTCTTTGCTGTAATCAGGATGGGAACTAATGAGGGAGGCGAGGTTAGTTCACAAACCTCCTTCTTGCACCTGAAAATCAGATTTGTATATACTTTTTTGCTATCTTCAAGGCCGTGGTGAGCAAAGCAGTTGCAGAGGAGTTACAAAGAACAAACACTTTTTCTTATCTGTTCTATTATACAGAGCCAGCAATTCTCCACAAAGCAGTTATGTCATCTTATAACTAAAATAATCAAAGTTTAAGGCATATATTTTTTCTGATTCCACATAGCTAAGACTATTTCAGGAGAAACAGTTGCAACTCCTAATTGTTAATACCTTTCTCAGATAAACTAGGAGGAAACTCCCTTGTTACTCTCAAATAACGAAATACTTACTCCGCACCTTTCAAAATAATCTACATGAATTTAGAAGCCGTTTGTTGCAAGCTCCAAGTGAAGGAAATTTTTATTTCCCAAAAATATATCAAAACCACAATTTTTTGCCAATTGAACACTCTTTACATTCACATTGATGTCATTTTCTCTATGTGATAAAGAAGACAGAAATTTGGATACATTTCTAAACTGACCTCAGTACTTTGCAAAGTATCTTCAAGATTGCCTTTACAATACCCTGCTTTATCACAACATCTTCTCTGCCTTCAGTCACTGGATATAGGTAATACTGGTTACTCCTCCCAGGGGTTGGCCTCCTTCTCATACCAAGATAATATTTTCCATGTTGAATTATGATCCTACATCCTGATCTCAGGATGCGCAAGTTGTTAAAATTCATAGATGCTAGGGTAGGAAGGGACCTCAACAGATCATCGAGTCTGACCCCCTGCCTAGGCAGGAAAGAATGCTGGGGTCAGATGATTTATTCTCTTACCAAAACACCTCATACTATTCCAATATATCCATGTCTCCTTCATGGTTCTTCTGGATCAAATGCACAGTTCACCGTTTCACTTAGTATCATGTGGTAAGATGGCAATCAGGTAGAAGACTCCTCTCAAAAAATGGTAGACTTACTGCTACTCCAAATTATTCCAGTCTTTCTCTCAGTTTTTTCAAACCTGGGTCCTCTATGTGGCACCTCCCAGTTAAATTTTTGCCAGGCTATTAACTGGCCATTATTTCAACTGCTTAGTTTCTGTCTCTTAGGAATTTCTAAGTCAGGGCAGGATGCCTGTGTTTAATCTATGGCTACTTAGTTTCCTTAAATATTTCTTGTGAGGGACTTTATCAAAGGTTTAAATAAATTATGCCAGCCAGCCTTATCTCCTCATCTACCGTTTTGTTGACATCACAGTAGGAAAAAAGCTGAAATATAAGCTAGGAAGGAATTTGTCCATTCTAAAGGAGACAGTATAGTCAACTGGATACAAGGAGTCATTTCTATATAGTCACATGGAACTGCGCTTTAAGACCACAGAGTCAGCTCAGTCACCATAACAGAGAAATATTCTGGGCTTCATTCCATCCAATGCAGGTGCAGAGTGTTATGCCTATAAAGAGGAAGGTAAAAAGTTATTCTTGCAGGACAGAGAAAGCAGGGGAACCTGCTGAGGGCACTGCTGCATGACCGCCAGTTTGTTCCTGCCTAATAGCAGGATTAAAGCCTCAGAGGAAAATGCACAGCTCAGCCCTCCTCCTTGCCAAGACAAAGGTCATGTTCAAAACTGTATTTTCTCAGACATGTCTATTCTCTACCCAACTCCTTCCACTTGTTACACTCCACAGTAAAGTAAAAGAAAGCAAGTGCATGAGTCATTTGAAACTGGGTGGCAGGTTCCATTTAGCATCTAACCTTACTTGACCTATGCATAGTTTGATTGCAACAGACTTGCACACCCATGTGTACCTTATACAAATTCTTGCAAGATTAACAAACTGGGCATGAAAGATGACCGTCAAGGTCAATTAATAAATGGTCTGTCCTTCTTACTGTACAGTGTTTTTTCCCCTATAACACCTTGTTGCACTGTTTAAAATTATATATCATTGCCAATTCTTTTCCTGACCTTGGCAATTGATCGTAGATGTGGACTACCTTCTCCATGAAATTTCTTTTGGACATTGTTAGAGGCTCATCCTTTCTCAGCTCCACTTTGCTTGTGCTCTCTTCAAAGTTTGGTCGTCTACTGAACAGTTGTGTGCCGGCTACCTTCTTTAATTCAGAATGCAACACACTTCATGTACATCCTGTGTACATCTGTTTTCTAATGAATAGATGTATCATACTAGCAACAACAGTAAAGCATTCAGGGAAGTCCTCTATAGATAAACATTGGGTACTGTCCTCTTGGAAAACTCAGATTCAAGTTAGGAGTATAGCAGGATTTTGGGGGGAGAAGGAGTTAATCAGTGACTCGAGGTGGGTTGCCCTGTATTCACAAGTACAGCAGCATGCTATGCTCCTTGGGACAGCTGCCCTCCAACATGGTTTTGTATTGGAGTGCAGGAGGCAAACATATTCAAAACATAGACAATGGTTGAAAAAGTACCGACACAGAAAATGAGGACAAGGGACAATTGGAAAAAATTACCTCAGCACAGAATCCTGGATGTGTCACATCCTTAGATCATTGTAGCAATTGCCAGGTCCATATAATCACATCAATGCAAGGGCAGAACTGAAAGGTGAAAAAAATCTATAATGTAAAAGACAAATGACAGATTTGTCATTATCCACATTACCATAAAACAAAAGGGAGAGTAAGATCTGTAGCCATGGCCATGCAAACCCCTTATGCTTGAAAAAGACAAAATGTGTTTCACTCCCATCTAGCCTCGAGGCATATTAAAAGCAGTCATTCCTATGTATGCTTACAGAGTTGTTGTTTTTCAGTGGAAGAGAGACTCTTCTAATATTTAGCAAAGAGATAATATAAGACCAGATATGACCTAATTCTCACATATACCACAGCCTCTTTACACATTCTGCCAGAATAAAAGTGACTTAGAAGTGGATTCAAATGTAATTCACCCCTGCTTTACAGTCTGTACATTGCCTGAGTGCATAAGGGGCCCTGCTGCAAATGTCAGTCAGCCCCATCCATGGTCTCTCATTTCCCCATTGCTATAGGACCCACATTTCCCCATTCTGATCTCATTCTTAGAGTGGTGGTGGTAGGATGCAGTATCACAACTGGGTAGTGTGGGCTGACAGCGCTATACAGACATCCACTCATATCAATAATTGTGTATAGGTACTTTGCAGAGAAAACTAGGGGTAGGCAGACCTGGACCAGTACCACTTGAGCTACACAGCACTCTGCACCCAGAAGCCTTTCTTTAGCTCAGGTCATTGGGTTCCTAAGAGCCAAAACCTATTTGGTGGCATATAAGGAAGATCTTCAGCCTCACCTTCCCATCTGTGCTCCAAGATGGACTACCCATGTGAGAGATTTCTCAGTCATTTCATTTTGCTATGCTGTCTGTTACAGAATTTTGGAAAACTTAAATGAGACTGGATTTGATGAGTTCAGGATTAGTCTCTCTCCACTGAGAAACACTTATTATAGCCTGGCCCTGTTCAAACTACATAAGAAGAATTCCTGGATCAGCATACCTGGAAGAACAACTCCATTGGACCAATGAAATAAAACCTGCCTCATCTCTAGTCAAAAGATAGATTGTAGTAAATTCATTCGGCCTCTCTCCAAAAAGGAAATAGTACTTGATAGCCTGGTCTCATTTACTTTAAACCTTTTCTTGTAAAACCAGTGTTATAGTAACATGGGGGTCTTCTGCACCCCATAACCTTAATCAGTGAACAAAAACATGTGATGAGACTGTAGGTATGGAGAAACCAACATTTTATTTAGAACATTTAAAAGGGGAGAGGGCATCAGCAGTTACTCTATAACTGGTACATCAGCATGATCCTGTAGGTTAGCTAAACTGCCCTAACTGGAACTGGAACGAAGGAAGGTTAAGTTTGAAGTAATTTTGCTATACTTGTATCACTGTAGAATGATGCAGACCTAACAGTTGGATTTGAACAACTTATATCACCACCTTTTGATAGTGGTAGAAGTGTTCCATCTCTCTGTACCCTGCCTGGGTCATGGTAAAATTCATCCTCTAAGAAAGGCCTTTCTGCAGCTACATGAATTCTTTGTATTCTCTTACTTTGTTTGAAAAAGAATGGCAAGGCATTCCAGACCACGTCTTCTTTAACACTGCAAGCCAAAGTGCAACTATGTTGTTCTTGTGCTTTTGTAGCCATGATGGGAATGTGCAAAAAGCAAGATTTGCTTAATATCTTCTATTGTAAGACTAGATGCCCATAGACCAGATGCAGCCAACAAGGGCTTAAATTGCCACTTCCCCTCTCACCCCCCAGCTCCTGCCTGGCTGCCACTCCCCACATCACTCTAGCTGTAAGAGCAGCCAGAAGTCTCCAGGCTCCCTTCTCACTATTCCAGCTGTTACTTCCTACGTCCACCCCAGGTAAGGTGGCCACCAACAGATCCCCAGAATACAGGACATGCCTTGGTGAGGGGTGGCCCTGCTCAGCCAGTCAATGGTGAGGGGTGGGGCTGCATCCTTGGTGAATCAGCAGTGAGGGGTGAGGCCATTGGGCCTCTTGGTCAATCAACAGCAAAGAAGGGCCACCACCAAAAGTCCACTCCCTCCATCCCTAGCTGGGAACCCTGCTTCTGCTGGCTGTGCACCACCCTACCTCTAGGCACAGCCAATAGAATTGTGAGGACAAATGACTGCAATGTATTTCCACCAATGAACTGAAAAACAGAACTTTTTGCTGCCCCTTCTGTTGGGGGAGAAGAAAGATCACTCTTGTAAACCAAATTATAAAGCAGGCTCAAACAGCTGTTTCCTCTTGGATCTCTCCCCAGAAAGATATGGTGGGTCTTCGCCCTGTGCATATCTATCACCGGCTTTAATTAATAATCACTAAGAGAACTGCTAAAGGTATACGAATAAAACGGTTTATTAAATCACAACAAACAACAGGTAAGTAAGCAACACATATACACACCCGGTTCCCAAAATGACCCTTACCAATACAACAATATAATATTTACTCAAGGATGGGGTAGACTTTATTGAGGGAGAGAGGAAACTTTATTAGGCTCATGTCCCTGCCTCTCGTCTCCTGAGGGTGGTCTGCTTCTCAGGCAACTGCTCAGTTGGGCTTACCTTCCCCTCACAAACAAGGAGTAGCCCAAAACCAGGACAAGAGTGAGGGAGAAAAGGAATGGGTGATACTTACAATGGGAAGTAGAGGGCTGCTGCTTTATGTGATACACACACCCAGTGGGAAAGACACCTGGGGAGCCAACCCTATCTACCTCCAGAGAAGGTTCACCGCAATGGAGGGAGATCGATGGAGCCTCACAAGTCACTGAAATCTAGCACGACGTGCCTCCACGGTGCACCGGCCAAGGAAACCAGTCACTCTATCTTAACTCTCACTCCAGCCTCTCACCCTAGCAATGCAACCACCAATTCCCTCACCAAACACCCTCTTTCAATCTCTCAGAGCCTCCCCACACCCCAAAAATGCACACAGACCTCTCAGTCAAGCTCTCAGTCCAGCCACACCACACACCCACAGTCTCACACACACCAACCTGTCAATCAGAGCCCTTTAATGTGGGTAGTGCACCCCATTCACTCAGGCTCTGCACTCAGCACATGGGTGTGCGCACGGCACTCTATTCCCGGGCCTCTGCAGGTATCTGACATCACTCTGCAAAGGGTGGGTCAGGTAGAGGGCATCTGCTGACCTACTTAACAGAGAGTTCCATGATCCAGGCCTGAATTTGCTCTTAACAGTTCCTCATTTAGAAATGGACAGGGGACAAAAGGTTTAAAAAAGGAGGTTCCAATATGAAACAGGACCAATGGCCGCCCGTAATCCAGGGGGCTTGGCAGTGTGGCAGCACAGGGAGCTGAGGGTGACCCTGGGGTACACAGTGCAGTGGCGGGGGAGGAATTGCAAGTGTGCAGTGCATTGGGGGTGGCTGCAGACACATGGTGGAGCAGGAGGGGTCACAGGCACATGGTGCAGCAGTTGTGGGGGCTGTGGGTGTATGGTGCAGCAGTGGGGGGGCATAAGCATGCAGTGCAGCAGTGGGGGGACATCTGGGGACCATGGCTCGCCCTAGAGCAGCCTGCAGGGTGTGTGGTTCCCTTTGGTATAGCCCGTAGGCAATGCAGCCCCATGCCACTTGTAAGTTAAACAGCCCTGTTCTATTGGACCAACTATATAGTGCCCCCCCTGAGGTAACAAGGAATAACAGCCACAAGCTGTTAGAAAGTAACTTTAGACTAGACATCCGAAGGCACTACTTCACAGTGAGGGCGGCTAGGATCTGGAACCAACTTCCAAGGGAAGTGGTGATGGTTCCTATCCTGGGGGTCCTTGACGTCTACCTGGCTAGGGTCATTTGAGCCAGGTTTTCTCTCCTGCCCAGGGCAGGGGGTCAGACCTGATGATCTACAAGGTCCCTTCCAATCCTACTTCTATGAATCTATGAATCTATAGTGAGTGGAGATGTTAGATAAGCTTACCAGCACAAAATGCCTTTCAGTTTAGTAATAAAACTGTCAGTTTATAAACTTGTTAAACAGAGGAGAATATTAAAGCATTATAGAAAACATCCATGGGAAGCTGACAGCAATACCTCATACTTGAAAGAAGGACAATTTTAACCCCCCCAATAATACTGTAAGCAGCAGACTACTAACATTCTATAACTGAGGCAGGCCTTCTGCATCAGGATACATGCTTTATTTTGTACACATAACTGCACACCAAAAAGAAGATTACTAGCTTGCATTTGGTGTTACACAGATATGAAGAACTACTGCACTGCATCTTTCAGTCTACATAAAAGGCTTTTAAAAAACCCAGACATTTTGCAGTATTTAGCCAGTTTTTCAGTAGCACTTTAATATGTGACATATTTAAATTTTTGCCAGACAGGCTGTCACAGTTCTGTTAATAAACAATGTGTTGCAAACAAGATTGGCTGCACAAGATAAAACAACACTACACAAGTATGTATTATACTGGGTAGGCTGCTTAAACTAGGTCAGTCATCACTCACTTCCTGCATAACTAACTAACGAACTAACACCATATGGAAGAATATACATACACGGTCATGTCCAAATTCTTTTATAAATCGCAAAATATTAAAAATTCAAGCCAATCTTCAAAATTACAAGTATCCCACACATTGGAAACTGTAGTCAGGAACATCCCAGGTCAAAAGAAACATGTTTGGAAATCTATAGCTACACAAAAAATAGGCCACACAGATGTGATGCCTGAACTGTTCATTAATTAGAGATGTCTTTGACTTCTGCTCTCCCACCATACTGTGCATATCAATATATTCTTTCATCCAAATACCAACATCTTCCTTTGCCTATTAATCTTCCTGCATCAACTGAATTCTAGAATGGATTTCATCTGTGCAGCTCTCAAGTTATTAGTACATTGTGAAACCATTTAAATCACGGCTGTCCAACTTCCAGGCAGCCAGGAGCCACATGTGGTGCTCAATGCCAGGGACTGTAGCCCTCAGGGCTACTCACCACAGAGGCAGGCCCTCCCAGGCTCTCCCCAATGCATAAGCAGCTTGACTCCTTCCTC